GAAGAGATCCCTTCTCTATACACTATCAACAGAAGAAATGGCTACGCTGTGTAAAAATGAATTCTAAAGTTCAGTCAAAGCTAATATGAGGCTTTAGCGGTCAAACCATGAGACAAACCAGGTGGTTATCATCAAGAAATACTGGCTTTTTAGTGTCTTTCATGTGCCTAGACATCATTTCCTTGCTGAGCCGTAATGGAGCGATAGTAACACACAGAAGGAACTTGGAATAAATTGACACTGCAGCTTGGGTAGACACCCATTTAATATGACTGCCTTAAACTGCTGAAGCTTCATTAGTTTTGGATGAAGAATGCACTTTTGCACAGAATTAGGACTGTGGATCTGTCTCTCATCATTTACATTGTAACTGTGTTAGGAAAGGACCTCTGCCTTGCTCTGCTTGTGTTTATGACAGTGATGGACACATATAAACATGACATCATTTGCTAACACATGTTCACCTGACAAGCACTTAATTACTGTGGCATTGAGCTAGTGTTCACCTGCATCTTAAACAAGCCCTTCTATAAACGTACTCTGGCCACATCCAGACCAGCTGCCTGTCTCTATTCACCTTCTCTAACCACGTCTGAGCCGTCTCTGGATTTATTGTCAAGCTGAGCTGCAGAAAAGTCAGCAAAGACCAGAAGAGGATCTCTGGGATGAAGGGACTGTTTGCTACACGTCATATAAAGCCTGTTTCTTTTGTTTGATCTTCCACAATGGTCATCTGGACTGAAGAGATCCATGGTTGTGCAGGTCATCATTGGACGCTTTGGCAATTTAAACATTTAATGTCTGTTAGTATGGAAGAAATGTTTCTGTTTGCAAATGATATATTCTACTTTGAGGCACATTAAAGTGATAGCTGATAAAGAGCACTTAATAAGCCTTATATATGGTCAATTAAATCTTTACTTATAAGGATTCTCTAAAGTGAGGGGAGCAGGTTGGTCAGGAGCCATCTTGCTGTTGTGCCAAATTATCTGTTTGGCAGAACGTGAAGAGAAAAAACTATCAGTTCCAATTTGCACTCTCAGTAGAACTATTGAGATCTAAATGTTTTAATAATGAGTACAAGTTGTACAATATAATAACTGTTTTTTTCTGATAATGAAAGTGGATTGCTATTGTCCTCTCTTATACACCAGTTCAAGCAGCTTAAATAAAATGAAATGTGATATACATAATATTTTTAACTTGTTTGCAGAAATGCCCTGCTTCACACAAAGCTGCATAATACAACCACCTGTGTTAATGACAAGTCTGTTGTGGATGTGACTGGTCCAGTGACTGCCCCAATAAAAACTGAAGTGCAGGCACAACATCCTGTAGCAGAGAATTATAAAACAGTTTTATTTGCTTGAACTAAAATATCATGTGAACTCTTTCAAAACTCAAACTGTTGATTCTAATCTTTTTTTACATGTGTCATTACCGCATTCATTAAAGGACAGAGAAGTGAAAAAATGCACCTTGTGATCTCAGTATGTCATTCAGGTGTCCGTTCTTCCCACTGAGTGGCAGTAATGTGCAAAGTTTACTGTTCCAACCACCACTGCAGCTCAAGTGAGGAAAATCTAGTGTTGTCTTAAGGGTAGGAAAGAGGTGGAGCGGAAAGCCCCAGGAGTCACTTAAGACTTTATGCTAACAGTAATTATGGTAAAAGTCATTTACAAGAAATAGAATTGTGTCTATATCAACAAGCAAGAGGTCTTCACAACCTGCTGGCTTCCCACAAGGCATCTGGTGACACCTGTCATTGCTGACCTCTGGCCCCCAGCTGCAGCTCTGTTCTGAGCCCTCAGACAATGCATGGAAAACACATGCAGATGCACACACAAACAGGCACATACACACATAGACAGACACACTCCTAATTGCATTACCTGCAATAATGCAATACATTGTGGGACAGGGGCTTTCAGAGATTGAATCAGAAACCATCCCCCATATGACTGAGACCCCTGCTAATACCTGGCATTATGGTCTCTGTGTGTACCGTTCATGCTTCATTTTTGTGTGCAAACAAACATTGTATTGAACGCAGAAGGCTGAAGGCTGTTATCTGGCCATGTGAATGTTTGCTGTTACAACAGAGCCCTGGCTTCTGTGCA